TGCTTACTGATAACAGTTTCTCCAGAGTTCCTGAGAGTCACCAAACCTTAATAGTCAGCGCTGGCAGCCCTATCCCATCTCACATGATGGGTGACAAGAGATATGATTGCCTTTGGTATTCCTGAAAGCAGATAGTGCAAATATGCAAGAGCACTCAAAAATCTACACAGTATTGTTAAGCTGTATAAGCACAGCGTTAAATACACATTTGTGCCCACAGAATGAAACAGCAATGTGACGGATGCTTTCAAATCACTCAGAAGGCAAAGTTCCTTAAGGGTTCTACAAACTGCCAAGTCTCTTGGGGTCTGAGCATCTAAGATCTGCGTATTAACACCTGCTCTGGGTTGAGTTTGTCCCCACCAAAACTCATGTTGAAATTTGGTCCCCAGTGTGGCGGGGTTGGGAGCCGGGGCCTAATGGGAGGTGCTTGGGTCATAAGGACAGATTCCTCCTGAATGGCTAGGTGCCATTCTCAAGGTAAAGAGTTCTCACTCTGGCAAGACTGGATTAATTCTCTCAGGAATGGATTAGATCCACAAGAGTGGGTTGTTACAAAGCCAGGACGTCCCTTGAGTTTGGCCTCTTCACACGTGTCTGCTTCCCCTTTGACTTTTTCTGCAATGTTATGGTGTAGCACAAAAGCCCTTACCAGAAGCCAGGCCATGCCCTTAAACTTTCCGGCCCGCAAAACTGTGAGCTAAATAAAGCCCTTTATTTGTAAATCACTCAGTCCCACATATTCTGTTATAGTAACACAAAATGGACTAAGCCAGTACCCAATCCAAGTCATTTTATGCCACATGGATTTGCACCTACTTGGAGAGGTCAGAACCAATAAGGAACATTCTACACACAACACCTTACTTCTTCCTGGTGGCTTGTTAAAGTTTGGTGAATGGGCCGGGCGCAGTGGCTCTTGCCTGTAATCCTAGCACTTTGGGAGGCCAAGGCAAGGGGATTGCTGGAGCTTAAGTGACGAGCCAGGGTAACATAGTGAAACCCATTCTCTACTAAAATATAAAAAGCTAGCCAGGCATGGTGGTGTGTTCCTGTAATTCCAGCTACTCAGGAGGCTGAGACAGGAGAACTGCTTGGATCCGGGATGTGGAGCTTGCAGTGAGCCGAGATCGCGCCACTGCACTCCAGCCTGGGCGACAGGACAACATCCTGTCTCCAAAAAAAAAAAAAAAAAAAAGTTTGGTGAATGGCCTTTCTTTAGAGTTGCAGGAACTCCTGCCCTGAACTTCTCAGTGAAACAGATCTCAATTGGTCTTATGCTCCTCCCTCTCACCCATTTTTTCTTTTGCTGTTTCATTGCTGACAGCATTCAACAGTAATACGCCCCATCTTTATGTATCGTAAGAAACACTAATTCTAGGTTATTACAAGCAGAAATATTTTTATCCTGAATAACACTGTTACTGGGCCAAAAGATAGATCAGGAGTTCAAGACTTTAGTTTCCTGAAATTGCCAGGTCAGGCACAAGGGGAAGGGCTCCTGGATATTGACTAACTTGGGTAGGCCTAGCCAGGAGAAAGACAGCAACATGTGTTCTGTACTTTCTGGGAAGATCCCTGAAGCCATCACGGAGGCTCCCCAACTTCCAAGTCACCCATCTGTTGCTGTGGCAGTGGGAATGGATTACTTAAGGTGAGGGCATTTTGCTTGCTGTAGGTGAGCAAGTTTCATGGGTTCTCTGTTTTGCCTCCCTCTGGCTTCTTCCTCCAGTGCCTTCTCCTTGTGTGCCACAGGGGATCAGGGATTCTCACCCTCCTGAGGCCCAGTGGGGAAGAGTGAACATGGCAGCCTCAAGATTAGCTGAAGCTGCCATCTGCCCAGCCTCTTCCATCCCAGCCATGTCAGTGAGCCCAGGTCTGGTGTAACTATTACAGAATACCTGTAGTAGGGAACTCTGGAAGTGTATTGGGCTGAGGTGGGATTTTCCCTCCCCACAGTGCCCTGAGCAATGGAAGTGGTGAGGGGTGAGGGAGCCATGCTGCTGAATTCTGGTTGGCATTGCCCCCTTGTGTAAAATGGGGAGTTGGGGTGGGGCAGCCTCTGCTTGGATTTGGTTGTAAGATAAACCTGGAGGAGAAAGAAAAAGTTTGGTGAACGGTACCCAGTGTCCCCTGGAATTGAGGTGGAGGGGCAGGGCTAGGGAAGGCTTCCAGTATCAGTTCATTGATTTGGTCTCACTGCTTCACAGTGGCTGAGTCACAGCTCCCTATGAATTCTGTGCCAGTCCTTTACAGGAGCTGTTTGGTGTCACGTCCTGGCAGTAGTCCCGGAGCTAAGAGGGACCACCAATTTTACTAATAAGGAAACTGGGGCCTGGAAAGTTGGCAAAATCTGTCCAAGTTTATGGGTCTAGGTCCCTGCTTTCCCAAGAGTGACCTGAAGCCATAGAGCCAGTGGCTTCATGGCCTCATCCTCAGCAGCCCCTGTGAGCTACCCAAGACCCCAGAGTCCTCCCACATCACACAAGGCCTGGGGCACCCCCAGAGATTTTCTTAGACAGTCTTAATGTCAATACCGTGTTTTCTTGTCTAACCAGGTTACCTTAAAAATGTGTGTACCCTTAACCCCAGGTATTTTCATTCTAAAATATAACTTCAAGAAATAACGTATTAATAACTTCAGGAAATAATAAGTCAGGAGCACAAAAATATGCAACAAGGGTAGTCATTGCAACTTTATTATTAGAGCAAAACTCTGCAAAGTATCCAAACACTCAAAATACTGCAATTTGCTTTATAAATCATAGTCTATCCATACAATGGGATGTGGTGATTTAAAATAATGATGTGTACAATTATTGACATAGAAAGAAATTTAGCCATTTATTTAATGAAAACAAGCACATTTGTAAAACAGTATCTAGAAGACAAAGGATCCAGTTTCTTCAACGTAACAGTGGCATGTAAACCAAAATGTAGGAGGAACTATAATAAAGAGGCTTAAGAAAGAACAAAAAATTTAAAAAAACGCTTAATATATCAACCACATGCAATATGTTTAAATCCTGATTCCAGAAAAGCAAGTGTAAAAAAGTACAGTTTTGGCTGGGCATGGTGGCTCATGCCTGTAATCTCAGTGCTTTGGGAAACCGAGGCAGGAAGATTGCTTGAGGCCAGGAGTTCAAGAACACGCTGGGCCACAGTGAGACCTTTTTAAATTTTTTTCTCTACAAAAAGTAGCCAGGCATGGTGGCGCATGCCTATAATCCCAGCTACTCCGGAGGCTGAGACAGGAGGATCACTTGAACCCAGGAGTCTGATATTGCAGCGAGCGCTGATCAAGACCCTGTCTTTGGGGAAAAAAAAAAAAAAGTAATTTTTTCTGTTTTTTTAGATTAGGGAAAATACAGCATGGGTTGATTGGGTATTAGCTATTATGAAATTATTATTAGTTTTATCGGGTATAGTAATGGGAATTATTTAATAATTGTGATTTTTTTTAGTCCTCATCTGTTACGAGTAAAATGAAAAAAGTAAAGTGCACTCCCTTAATGTTTACAAATGCATGTACATGTTTTATATATATAGATTCATGGAAAGGGGCTGCAGGAAGCCCAGGAATTCATTCCTACCACCACCACAACCCACTAAGTGCTCAATCAATACTGATTGTCTCAGTGAATCAGTCCCGGAACCAAGCATGTGAATTCCCCACAAGCTCCGTGACCTTAGAAGCTCCAGCAGCCTCTATGTGCTTTGCCACCAGTGCCTGGCACTTGATTCAGGCTTTCAGTCAACACTGAGGACCCCACCCAGTCAGCAACACCAGTGCTAGTGAGTGAAGAGGTGTCAGGGCGGAGAGCTGGGAAGAACCCTTCAGGCAACCTGGAGGGTAGAAAGCAGCAGACTGCTCCACGGACCCTAACCGAGAAAGGGGACATGTTGGCTCCAGCAATTCCCTCTTGCAGGCCACCTCTGGCTACCGCAGATGCTGGTGTGAAGTCACCTCTGCACTCAGGCACTGGTTCTCTGACATCTTCCCCACCCAGTCTCCCTGGTGTAGCACAGTCCCGCCTCCTCCCTCCTGGCTCCTAGTGTGTGTGCAGGAGACCTGTTGGGGAGTTGGTAGAGCCAGAGATTAGGAGAAGGGGAGGCAAATAGGATTTACGGGATATTTGCCTTTCCTAAGAACTGTCCTCTGCTCATGATGTCAACCTAGGTTCAAGGTACGGAGGCCAAATAACAGGGAAGCAACGCTGACTATTAGCAGCCAGCTGTGACAGAGGCTGGGTGTGGCTACAGGCGGTGGGGCCTGGTCAGGGTCATCTCTGGGTGGCCTCCTCCACACACTGACTTCTACCTAGGGCTCAGGGAGGAGAAGGATGAAGGGACAGCAGTGAAATGGCTTCGCAAGAAGTGCATAGTCTGCAGGAAGTGCCTCCAAGACACCAGCAGACATTCTCTGGTAGAGCCTCTGCCCCTCACTCCCAGCTTCTTTCTCCTCTTAAAGCTCTGGCTGAAGCAGACACAGAGCTCCTTCCCTGGGCACCTGAAAGTGGGCACAGGGTGTGAGGATGTTCCCACCGAGATTGCTGAGTGCATCTTCTCATCAGTAGGAGCTGCTTGGTGGGGGTGGTGCCATGGGGGCATCCTCTGTCCCCTAGGACTGGACCCCTCTGGCCTATGAGAGGCAGCATGTTGTAAACGATTTGATGCCAGGATTCCTGGGTTCTGTCTAATTCTGGGCCATTGACTAACCCACTGTGTGATCTGCCAAGTCACTTCCACAATCTGAGCCTCAATTTCCACCCTTGTTAGCCGAAGGGTTGTGTTAAGACAATCTGAAGGTCTCCTCTGGCATTTATATCTTCTTTATCTACAAAATGATTGTGTATGTGACTTGTTGTGAGGATTAGACGTAATTCATGTCAATGAAATTATATTTGGTACAGAAAATATGTCACCTTCAAAAATCCTGGGATCCTTTCCTCCGGGAAATGGGTAACATAAGTCCATTGCCCACTAAACAGCAGCATGAGTCAGATGCCACTAACAATATTTATTACCCAAAGCAATCTGACAGATTCGGGCACAAGGTCATGGCTTTCCCACGTTACAAGAAAATCAGAACCTCTTCAAACTCACCCTCCACCCACAGTCGAAGTAAGGGATTAAAGGCTACAGCTCAAGCTATGTCATGGCTACTATCTCCTCATTCTTGATGAATAATCTCCAAGTCACAAGTGGGCATGATGCGATTTGGATCCAAATCTTACCAGAAAAAAAAAAAACCCACCATTAAAATAAGACAAGTTCATAGAAATCATTTCAACAGAAAGATATCAAGAGCCTTTACTGGCAATGAGAAGAGGAAAGATTTTCTGTTTATAATAACCAGAAAGAAATGGAATTGTCTAATAATCATCAGTTGAGTATGAGCCTAGTAGGGGATGCTAATCTTCCGGGCTGGGGAAGTCTTGTGAGCTAACCAGACCCTCCTGGTCTCTGGTGAGGTCAACTGGTAGCAGTTTCCTGGTTGCCTAGTAACAAGGGACCGTGTTTAGGGGTGGGGTGGGGTGAGGTATGTTGGGGAGGGGGGCCTTCACTTGGCAAGTGAAATAACACAATTCTCAGGAGTTGAAAAAGAGGCAATCTTCAAACAGTGCTGAGAAGTCCTCTTACTTTTTCCACATTAGGGGAATGCAAGCTGGTTTAACCTCACATGACACTTCCTTTTTTGTTTGTTTTTTTCATTTGATTGGTTTGAAAATTATCCTGGATCCAGGAAGGTGATGCCTTTTCTTGTTCTCCTTTTATCATCAAACCAAACAGCCAATGTGTCTCTAGAGACACTGCATTCTAAACTGAATGTGCTGACAAGCCTTCATCCCAGACCCTGAGTGGCAGGTTTTCATGAAAATCAGCTTCTGGGCCAGTTAAGTCTTCATGAAGTTATCTTTTCATAACTCAGCCCTCATTCCCCTCCGGGTCAGTAGCAGTGGAACCAGGAAACCCACGGGCCAGATTTCCTTACTCAATGAAGGCACTCCAGGAAGAGTTCCCGGCACCTGCCTGCCAAACTCCGCTCTGCTTGCTGGACTTTGCTCAGCATGAACAGGCCACTCTGGCTACAAGTTCCCCCAAACCATCCCAGATTGTATCTTTAAGGCACACTAATTCCTCTGCGTAAGGACTTCTGTTCATGATGAGTTATATTAATTATTCTTAACATTCAAAAGAGAAAGTTCTGCATGAAAGCCCACCCCTGTCCAGCCATTGTGCCCTGAGATCCCGATACTGTGCGGATGAGGGCAAAGCCAATAAACATCAGGGATTCTGGTCATTGGGATCACACTTGAGCATGATTTTCAACCCCAATCCCTTTTTAAATGTTTCAAAGGCTTCCAGAGCTTTCTCCAGAGGAAATCTATGGGTGACGAGGGGTTTTATGTTCACAGACTTGGACGCAAGCATCGAAATCGCCACTGGCCACCTGTAAAAGAGCACGAGCATTATATTCAACCTTCAAGAGGAAAGAGCCAGGTGCCCAAAACTACCAAGTACTATATCAGCTTGGCCATATTATTGATAGCACTGCGGTTCGGCAAAGCCAATTTTACAGGCCAACAACCGAGGAAAGGACCTTATGGCTTACGATTCAGGGGTACAGAGCCTATTTCCAATTTCCCCCACCCCCTCACTCTGCCATGTCTGCCATGGAGCCTAGAATTCCTGTGGCACGAAGGAACAAGGCACATGGTGGAAGCCACTGGGAAAAGGCAGAGAAGCCGTGGGGAGGCAGCCCAGGACAATCCAGTCACACCCACTAACAGCTCAGCTTACTGGAAAGCTGGTGCCCTGATGAGGGCATGGAGTTGCAGCCTCTAAAGCTAGGAGTAAGGGACACTGCCGCAGAGTGGGGTCCCAGCCAGAAGGTCCCAGCCGGGGAGAGGGTGGAGCTGCGGAACACCGGTGGGGCAAACTAAGACCCTTTCGCTCCCTAGGGTGGGCCCTAGGGCTCAGAAATGGGAGCCACAGGACTTGATTTCTACCTTCTGTCCTTTCTCTTCTTCTTCCCTTTAAAGGGAGAAAATGGAGATCTGGCAACTTAAGAAAATGGCGGGGGGGGGGAAAAAGGGGCCTGGCGGGGATAAACAGCAGACACCCAGTAAGAGCATGCTTCAAAATCCCCTCCTTCCTTCCCTCCATTCATTCTTCTGTCCTTCCCATTCTTTAACTGGGAATGAGTGTTCTCTCTTTGGATCCCTGTTATATCACACAGCTATCAGTGTGGCCAGGGAGTGCCCCCCATGAGCAAACAGGCAGAGACTCATGGGCCCAGAGGCTGAGTGGGGCCTGCCCTGGTCTTGCTGGAGGCTGGGCATCCTGGCTCACCCACAGCATACTCACGTGTTGCAGTATCGAAACACGCCCTTGATATCCACCTCCCGGATGGCTGCATGCAGTAGGGGTATGGTGGTCATCTCAGAGCCCAGCCCCACAAGCACCAGGGTCCCACCAGAGCGAGTGGCCTGGAAAAGGAGGTACAAACAAGAAAGCTCAGAAGATAAGAAATACTGACTTCCCACTTACAATAACGTAGTATCATCACACAAGTATCTTCTGGTTGCATCAGCTGAGCATCTCAAAATTCCAGAGAATGTGATTCTTGTACAGTGCTGAACTGCTCAACCTGCCAACCAAACTTAACAGAGTGGCAGAGTAAACACTGTTTCCTTTAAACCTTCTGAAAAAAATACACTTAACCCACGGAGAACCAGGCACAGTGGGAACGTCTTCCAAAGCTTTACAGATTCGGGACCCAATATTGGCTTCAGCCAGCTCCACAGTCTAAGCACCCGTTCCTCCCGCAGAGCGCCCTCCACAGGCAGTGCTTTCATCAGAGCTGGAAGGAACCGCTGGCCCTCTAAGCTCACCGGTGCTGAGAAAACTATAAACACGAGACAGATGAGTCACTTATATTCTGTGGTTAAAAAAGGCTTTATAGGTGCGTGCAGGCTGGCGGTTAGAAATCGTTTTGTTCCAGAGATGTTTTCCTCAACAGTATGAGCCATAATGGGTTTTGTCTTTCCTTGAATGTTTATCTGCCTTATCAGTTGCCCACTTGGAGTGGGCAATTTCACAGGTGGCTGCGAAATTTCTCCTGAAAATTTCCCCAGAACTCCCTGTGAGTGCCGTGCTTGTTCCAGAGCTTTCTGGGGATCACTGTGCTCAGTGTGGTGAGAGACAGAACAATGGACAATTCAGTCATGCTGGCTGTTCATTATAGTCAGTAGCAAGCATTTATTGGGACCATTCTAGGTGCTAAACAGTGGAACTAGAGAAAGGCACACGCCACAGCCTCCGCTTCTGAGATGATGGATACACCATGGAGAGAGGCCTGCGGTGCTGTGAGCAAGAGGTGAACTCAGGGTGTGAGTGGTGTGGGAGTGACTCCTGGGGCTGCCGCTTCAGCCCTCTCAGCCCATTTTCTAGGGAAACTACTTCCTCATCAGCACTTCCTCTCTACCTGGTGATGAGGAGGAACACCAATTGGCCATCCCAAGCTGCCAAGATGCCAGCAGTTTGCTGACCCCAGGTCAAGGAATGCTGGAACCACCTGGACACTGTCCTGTAGGTATGGCATCTGCACCAAGGATATGACATCAATTCTACCCCAAGGCATCTGCCGCGTCTCATCACAAACACTATCCAGTCAGAACCTGGCAGGACCGCGATGCTCAGATATGTCCGTATTTGGTGCAGCCGCCTAGCCTGCTCATTGGCGGGGAGGCCTATAGCATTCTACAGCACCTGTCATGCATGACAGTCCCACTCCCTACATCAAGAGAGACACTGCTGCAGGTCCGGTGAGGCCCATGGGTCACATTCACCTCCATGCTGCTTCAGGTAGCCTGGCAACCAGGCCGCCACCATCAACAGCTGGAAATGCCAACTGTTCCAAATGCTCTAAGGACCAGGCACAAGAGGAAGGAGAGACACGTCCTTGAAGTCGCCCAGCTTATACTGCCTCTCTGTGGGGTGGAGGTCACTGACTTGCCAACAACTTGAAGACAGTAGACACGACTTACTCATGTCTTAGCCCTCAAAGTGCCCAGCACAAAGCCTGGCACATGGCAGGTACCCAAGACATACCATGGGTAGATCAGTCACACACAGACCCATTGTTCCTCTCTGAGTTTCAGCGTCTTTTTGCCCCTTCCCCCATGGCGACCACTGCCTGTGACAGTGAAGCAGAGGGCTGGCCGACTCCAGCTGAAACTCAGGACAGTGCCAAGGTGGCACCCGCTCCTCCCTCTCCCCCACTGCTTCCTCAGCTCCTAAGGCCACAGGCAACTTAGTAGAAGGAGGTCTAGGCAGCTCTGCTACTCAGCTTGGTGAGTCAGCCTTCCCTAGAATGTCTCGTGTGATGCGAAGTGCCCTCGTGCATGAATCAGCTGGACTCAGAAGGAAGGAAGAAGCCCACGCTACCGTGGAGAAGCAGTCTGGGAGGCAGGGATGGGAGTCCCCTGTGGTGACAGCTGCCTGCGACCCTCCCCAGCCCTGGCCCTGTCCCCCGACCCTAGCATGGTTGTTTGTCCCCTCCTTCCCTTCCTCTCCTAAGCAGCAGGGCAACTCAGGCACTGGGGCCTGGCAGGGCTGGGCCTGGGCCTGACTCGGCTTGCCTCAAACCAAAAATCCCTCAACATAAAACGGTAACTGATTTTCAGCGTTATTGTGCAGATTAGGCATCATGGTTATAAAGTACAGCAGAGAAGCTGGCATGCAGTAGGGCTTGGAACCTGGAAGTTATTCTCTTTCCCCTCTTTTCCTCGTACTTTGATCTGTCAATGCCACTCCCTCCCACCACCTCCAACTTCCTGCCAACTTCCCATAAGTGGTTGGTGGGTCCCTGAGGGGCGAGTCAGGCATTGGCAGCTTATCTGTTCCTAAGTCTTGGAGACAAAACAAGCAGTAGACACCTGTGAACCTGGAAAATAACCTCGCCTTCATGACTAACTGAATGCCTGTCACTTTATATCAATGACTAAAAGATTGCAGTTTTCCTCAATAAAATAAGACGGGGATTTCCCACATACAATTAAGGCATCATTCCCTGTTTATCTTCTTGATCTTTTTACCAAAACTACTGCACTTTTATGATCACGGATATGATCACGAAGCCAACCCCAACCCCAAAGTGTGTGTCCTTAACCTTTTTCAAGGCCCATGTATAGCTGTTATCTTGTGTGAACCTCAGATGGCCCAATGAGGATGTAAGGCAAGTTCAAGTACAATCTCCACACTGGAGATAAGAAAACAGAGATAACAAAAGATGAATCAATTTGGCTTGGGGCTCACACAGCAAGCTGGTAAAGAAGCTTCACTCCCTACTTCTATCTCCTTCACTCCCCTATGCTGATTCCCCAAAGCTGCCCTCAGCCCACTCACGTAGATGCCCGCCTGGATGGAGGCCTCTGCCCCCGTGCACTCGATGGTGACTTCCGGCTTGCACCCCAGCAGACCTTCTACTTTACTGGCGATTTCCTGAGGACTTTCCTTGGAGATCTGGAGGACTAAATCAGCCCCAATCTCCTTGGCTTTGGACAACCGGGGAGCAGACAGGTCTGAAGGTAAAGAAAAAGAAAAAAATTATTTCAAACAGAGAAATCTGATGACTCATTAGGAAGAAAAGAAAATGGAGGTGTAAGATCTGATGGCAGCAAAGCTCTGGTGCAATGGGTGGTACTGTTGAGCCCAACGCATCCTCTTCACACCAAGCTTGTCCAACCCGCAGCCTGCATGCAGCTCCGGATGGCTTTGAATATGGCCCAATGCAAATCTGTAAACTCTCTTAAAATAGTATGAGATTAAAAGAAATTTTTTTAAAAGTTCATCAGCTATCGTTAGTGTTAGTATATTTTATGTGTGGCCCACGACAATTCTTCCAATGTGGCCCAATGAAGTCAAAAGATTGGACACCCCTGCTCTATACCCTCATACACTCCCATGTCCACCACACAGCTACACAAACACACCCACACATACACACACTGTCACACAAACTCTCTCTCTCTAATAGCTTCTCCTAACACAAAACACACTCGCACACTCTTCTATATCTCCACAATCCATATGACACTACACACTCACCCCCTCCACACCGTCACAGATAACCTCTCCTCACACATACACATACAGTAGGCCCAGCTGTTTCCCCATCAAGGAGACTGAAAGAGAACAAAGCCTTACCAGTCACCACTACTTGAGCTGCTCCCATTGCCTTGGCCACGAGCAAAGAGACCACCCCGATTGGCCCTAAACAAAGCAGAAGACGGAAGATGTTTGTGAAATATTAAACATCTGCTCTCCCACTTGTCCAGGCCATGGACAGGAACCGTATCTTTTGTGTGTCTCTAGCATCTACCCCAGTGCCTGGCATGATAAGACCTTACCGGCTATTTGTTGAATGCAGAAGTGAATGAATCCATGAAGAATTATTCTCTACATAAAACACGCTCCTAGTGCCGGGTTCTATTTAATCCTCTCAAACCTCAGAGCTAAAAACTTCCCACTTACTCCTGGGCACTAGTGGAGACAATCTCAAAGAACCACAGGATTCAAGGAAACACAAGGTTATTCAGAATATAAGAACTCTTGGAAGATCTGGACTTGTTTTCCTGTTCTTTCTTTGCCCCAACCTTCGTGAGAACCCATCACACCTCCCCTAGAGAGAGACATATTCTTTTTAGGTGTCCTCTGAGGACCACCTGGAGAGGGTCCTTAAGTGAGCTGGCTCCCTGGGTTGGCCCAGGTGCCCAGATAGCCCCAGGATACTCAGGTATGCAAGGATTTTCCTGAGATACCTGCTTCCCCATAGAATCTGCATGCTAAGTGACACTGTGGTTTTAATATAAAAATCAGACCCCCAGAATGAAAGCAATGCAGAATATCTCTGGGGATTTACTTTTTGTACACACCCCCTGAGAACAATTTTGTGAACTCCCTCGGAAAACAAAACACTGAAAAATAATACCTGAAATGTCCAACAAAGCAAGATTAAAAAACTATACCACTATTAAAAATTATGCCATAACTCTTTATCTATGGACACGGAAAAATGTTCATAGTAGATTGAATTTTTTTTTTTTTTTTTTTTTTTGAGACAGTGTCTTGCTCTGTCGCCCAGGCTGGAGTGCAGTGGTGCAATCTCAGCTCACTGCAACCTCCGCCTCCCGGGTTCAAGCGATTCTCCTGCCTCAGCCTCCTGAGTAGTGGAGATTACAGGCACCCGCCACCATGCCTGGCTAATTTTTGTATTTAGTAGAGACGAGGTTTCACTATGTTGACCAGGCTGGTCTCACCCTGACCTCAGGTGATCTGCCTGCCTCAGCCTCCCAAAGTGCTAGGATTACAGGAGTGAGCCACCGTGCCCAGCCTGATTTTTTAAAAAGAGTAGGTGAAGGAAGCGTATTTAGCATGGTCTCAGAAAAAAGCTAACTAACTAAAAGATTCTATACCCAAATATTAATAGTGGATCTCTTGGGCTAATCGGTGACGGGCTTACAGGTGAATTTCTCTATGTGTGTGTTGGGGGCAAGGCATGCATGTATGTGGTATGTGTGACATATTTTCCTTTTCTATGGTAAAAAGGTACCGGATCCATGCAGATTTTTATAAGAATCTGTCACCTGAGTCCTGCAGTCTGCTAGCCCATTGTGGCAAGTCTATTCTACATCCATCACCCCTCTTAGGAAACCCTGTGATCACTTATTTGGCCTGCCAAAGAAAATCACAAACAAGTATGAGGAACCCCAGATCACACCCACAAGGAGTGTGAGCGTGCTGTCTGGGTCACCAGCAGTTAGAAGCCTAGAATGATTCGGTCTGAGGCTGCTCGGGCCTGTTCCAGATGGCTGGAAACAGGGGATGAGGGAAGGCAGCTAGCTACAACCCTACTGCAGGCAGAGTGCTGGCTCCCAGTGGTGTGGGAGCAAACCACTGCTCACTCCTCCCACTGGCCGGTAGCGGGGTCTACCTTATTCATAGATGGGACTAGGCCATCACTTTGCTGGTATAATTAGAAAGTTCCAAGAGTTGTCCTTCCCTTTACTATCAAAAATATTTCTCTAAGGTGGAGGTTGCAGTGAGCCAAGATTGCATTGCTGTACTCCAACCTGGGCAACAGAGTGAGACTCTGTCTCAAGAAAAAAAAAAAATTTCCCTAGTTTCCCATCAAGGGTTCAAAAATAATCACCAGATTAATTCCTTTTTTTTTTTTTTTTTTTTTTTGAGACTGAGTCTCGCTCTGTTGCCCAGGCTGGAGTGCAGTGGCACGATCTTGGCTCACTGCAACCTCTGCTTTCCAGGTTCAAGTGATTCTCCTGTCTCAGCTTCCCAAGTAGCTGGGACTACATGGTGCGCACCATCACGCCTGGCTAATTTTTGTGTTTTTAGTAAGGATGAGGTTTCATCATGTTGGCCAGGCTGGTCTTGAACTTTTGGCCTCAAGTGATCCACCTGTCTCAGCCTTCGAAAGTGCTGGGGTTATAGGCATGAGCCACTGAGCCTGGCCCAGATTCATTCTTTTTGTTTGTTTGTTTTGATATGGGGTCTTGTTTTTTTTGAGACAGGGTCTTCTTCTGTCACCCAGACTGGAGTTCAGGGGCACAATCATGGCTCACTGCACCCTTGACCTCGAAGGTTCAAGTGATCCTCCCACCTCAGCCTTCTGAGTTGCTGGGACTACAGGCACACACTACCACACCGGCTAATTTTTGTATTTTTTTGTAGAGATGGGGTTTCACCATGTTGCCCAGACTGGTCTCGAATTCCTGGGCTCAAGTGATCCACCCGCTTTGGTCTCCCAAAGTGCTGGGACTATAGGCGGGAGCCACCGTGCCCAGCCAATTCATTCTTTAAATGAACGAAAGGGCTATGTTGCTTAGGACATATAACCCTAGTTAATATCATGTCTGCAGATACTCATTTGTTTAGCAAAGTGCTAGTCACTGAGGGAACGGGACACTGCAATCCTCCCTTACCCAGAAGGATTCTAGAACAAATCTCAAGCCTTGGAGGGGGAATGAGATGGGCGGAGAGGTCCCCGCATTCCCAGTCAATGAACCCGCAGCAGGGTGGCTTCTGTTTCTTACCAGCTCCACACACAAGGACCCTGTGTCCCAGGGTAACTCCACCTCTCCTGCAGGCATGGATCCCCACAGAAAGTGGCTCAATCAGGGCGCCTTCCTCAAAGGTGACGTTGTCGGGAAGCCTGAGGAATCATTTGACATACAGAAATCCTCTGAGTTAACGACAGTGCTAACAATAGTATTATATATGCCCAACGTTACTGTAATAACAACCATAGCTAACACTCATCCAGCATTTATTTATGTGCAGAGCAATGTGCTAAGCAATTTATATACATTAACTCATGTAAAGCCCTGGAATAGTTCTGTGGTAGGTACTATCATTCCCATTTTACAGATGAGGAAACAGGCTTGGTGGGTTAAATGACTGCCCCAGTGGTCCAAAGCTAGTGAGGGGCCCAAAGGGCTCAAATTAGAAGCCAGATATGTTCTGATCCCAGAACCTATGCCACAGTGTCCCCATGTGAAGAAGCCAACATGGTTTTCTTTGGAGAAATCAATTCAGTGAAATGAACACATTACATTTCCTTTAATGTGCTATCCAAGGTAAGGCACGGTGGTTATCATTAATAAATGAAAAGTTTACTTAACAAGGAGTTAACATGGCCACGTTCCAGCATCTCGTCTGCTTCTCAAACTTACAGCCTTTTTAGTTTCATGTTAGCAAACAATCCTGACTATCACCAGTTTTGCAGAACAGTGATTTAGCAATGGGCATCACTCTGATAGCCACCCCCCATATTATACATTCCAGAGGAACCACATCTGAGGACAGCAGCTGCCCGGCTCACCCAGGGCCAGTTAAGAGGAAAAAAGGGCCTGTTCCACACAGCTGATTAAATGCTGTGTCACCTTCACTCTGGGTTCTAGGTTTTCACTTCCACTGGCATCTTGACCCTCTCAATAATACCGCTGATGATGATAGCAAGTATTTGCATAAAGCTTTACAGATTAGGAAGCATGCTCATTCATCACCTCATTTAATCCTCATGGTAACCATGTTAGGCAGGTAGGGCAGGCTTTTTTAAAAAACCTTTATTTTACTGAAGAGGAAACTGAAACTCACTGACATTAAGAGACTTGCCAAGGGTATGAAGCTAGGGAATGGAAGGCCAGACTTAACCAAGGTGTCCTGATTCCACATCCTCTGCCTGTCCCATATCAGCTGCCTACTGGTATGAGCAGCTGTGTAGCTAATATTAATATCCAATTTCTGCTAGTTCCTCACTGCCCAGGATTTACCCAGCACCCCAAATCTCCACACACAGGAACATGAAAACCCTCGAGTTCCAGAAAGAAATAAATGTGGCAGCCAAACCATGTGCTCATCCCCATGATCCTCTCAACACTGTCCCCAATCTTCAACAGAATAACTCAGAGTCCTCCTATCACTGTCCCTGATCCTTGACAGAACTACTCACCAGGCCTTTGGAGGCCCAGCTGCCGCCCACCACCCCTTTATCCCTTCCGCTCGGCTTCTTCCCCATCACTTTCCCTACTCCAATCCACTCTCCTGCTCTGACTGCGGTCACACTCCTTCTACTCCCCCTAGAAGCATCCCTTCTATATAATGGGAAAAAGTTTAAAATGAAATAGTGAAGATTCCTAAACTCTCTCAGGGACTCCACAGGCTCCCAGATACGCCTGCCCTTCCACATCTGGGCTTCCTGAAGAACTCATAAGGGCTCTATGCAGAGGGTGGACTGCATGGAAGCTACATCGAGGAGAGATGGGATTGGGGAAGGTGATGAGGGAAGACTGTTATCAGGAAGAATACTCTACTGATTAAGCAGACGCTGCCTCATCCGCCTGCACCCAACACAGCCAACCGTGTTGGAAAGCTATCTGGTGTGGAGGCAGAAGCATGCACAAGGAGTCCTGGAGGCCAGCCCCGCTGCCACTGACCTTGGGAAAACCACTGACTCCACCCTCTCCAATCTTGTCCAGTGGGGGTTGATGGAGAACAAGGATGAGAAGACTCCAAGCTTCCTCCTAGCCCCAACCTTTCATGACTTTGTAAACACCAGAGAGTGATGAGGCAACTTGGTAGTTTTTACAATGGGGTTCAGGGAACAGGCCAAATTGGGTAATAGATGATTAAGAAGCCAAGGAGGAAGCAGGAAAATAGAAAGAAAATAGGTAGGTACACAAATAAAGAGGCTGTGGTAGTATGGGAATCCTAAAAAGACATCAGAGAGGAGGGCTTGGGTAGGGAGGAACTGGGGACACAGGCAGAAAGCACCCTGGGAGGAGAAGAAAGGCAGGGGCTATATGACTCCCCAGAGACCTTCCTCAGCACCCCCACTGCCACTGCCAACCAGAGCCCCATCATTCCCTATAAACCACCAGCGCAAGGCTTTCTTTCATGTCTACTCCTGCACCTCCATCCCCAGACCACTAGGCCATGAGTATGGCATAGCTTGGCACCATTTACTGAGCACCTACTATGGGCCAGACCTCATGCTGGAGACTTGATATGCCTTTCTCATTGGATCTCATCAGTAATTCTTCGAGGGAGGTACCATTACTATCTCTATTTCACAGGCAAGGATATCGAGGTTACAAAATTTAAGTGACTTGCCCAAGGTCACACAGTTGTAACTGGCAGAGACCAGTGGGCTTCACCACTATGCTCTTCTGCCTTCCATGAAACTTTCGTTTGGTGTCTTGACTTGGAAAGGGCCCCAGAAAGATGGGTTCATTCAGGAACCACCTGCTGAAAGGTGGACTCTGCACAGGTAACCTGCTTACTTCTAGAGCAGGTTCAGGTGTTGACTTAAACCCATCACAAGGTCTCTGGCCTGTGACTCCTCTCAAGGCTCCCAGTAGGCTCCCAGACTGTTCCTGTGACTGGCACCTGGCCTCCATCGGACAAGCCCCATCCTGGCTGAAAACCACCACTGGGGCCAGGCTGGGGTGGCAGGAGAACGCAACTGAGTTGGGTCAGGGGGAAAGCGGCACTTTGGCACCTTAGAGCTCCATGGCTGGGGCCATGGGGGGCCATGAAGAAAGGCAAGCACTTTGCTTCCTCCAGACTCAACTTCACAATTTCAGGGGTGAGAATTGGAGTAGGGTAGGGGAGTGGGCACAGGGCAGGAGCTTGAGACTCACAGAGACCCCAGTTTGACTCTTGGTTCTGCTGCGTGCCCAAGTCAATGAGCTTCCTTCTGCCTTGGTTAACAACGGTGCCCATCTCACCATTATTCTTGTGGAGATTAAATAAATTAAAGCATGCAAAGCACTTATTAGCACAAGGGCAGGCCCATAGTAATAATAATTATGACTCTCCATGCATCACCTTATTTAATATTTTGGTGATTAAATGAAACTGAAGCAGAGAAAAGTTAAATCATTTCTCCAAATTCGCTTGCTAGGAGGGAGTAGATCCAGGATCCCAGAGCTCAAGCCCTGGCAGCACACCACGGCACCTCAGGAAATGTCAGCTCTTGCTGTCATGGTGTGTTGTTGTTATTGTCGAGGTCATTGTTGTTTTTTTTTTTTTTTTGAGACGGAGTCTTGCTCTGTCGCCCAGACTGGAGTGCAGTGGCGCGATCTCAGCTCACTGCAACCTCCACCTCCCGGGTTCACACCATTCTCCTGCCTCAGCCTCCCAAGTAGCTGGGACTACAGGCGCCCGCCACCATGCCCGGCTAATTTTTTGTATTTTTTTTTGGTAGAGACGGGGTTTCACCATGTTAGCCAGGATGGTCTCGATCTCCTGATCTCGCGATTCGCCTGCCTCGGCCTCCCAAAGTGCTGGGATTACAGGCGTGAGCCACCACGCCCAGCCGAGGTCATCGTTGTTATGAACTTTCTGGTGGTTGCAGTGGAAACTAATAACAGAGGATGAACCACAGGAATTCTCTCCAGGATGTCTGCAGAGGGTGAGTGATTTTCAGCAGTATTTTTCTATTGTTGCTGTAAGTAAGGGAAACAAACTAAAAGACTAAAACCAAGCACTGTGAGTCAGTCTTATTCCTAGGGAGGCTACCCTGTCTCAACGCCACCAAGAAGAGTAGCCTGCCCAGGTGATGCCGCATGTTTGGAATTCTGAGCTGAAAAGAATAAAGAAATAACCACAGGAAACAGCACCAAGCTAATGAAGGGAAAGAGGTCCCAGGTGACCCAGTGGGACTGTGAACACTCACTTGTAACAAAAGGCTGCATTGTGCTTGTAGAACCGGCAGAGGTTTCCGTCATCGGGGGGTGTGGCACAGAAGAAGATGGAAGGTGACAGATTGTATCGGCCAGACTTGCAAAATTCATCATTTTCTCGGGGAACACCAGGCTCGATGGCAACACGATCACCTGGAGAGGAAAACAAAGATGGCACCCTGCCCGAAGGTGGGAGCAGTCTGCCCCCTCTTTGGTCTGGTTCTTTGTTTTCCAACCTTTGAAAACAGCAGAAGCAGAGATGTTATGAAGGCTTGCCTGCTCATGGGCAGACGCCAGATGCGAGAATCTAGCTTAATGAGCCCCCTCCTCCCTGGGGACCCGGAGTGTCCTAGGCAAGTAAGGAAACTTGGGATGAAGCACAGACTCACTCTGGGGGAAAAGGACCGCCCCCTCCTCCACAGTTCAGTGTGGCCTGCCCTTTTTCCAACTCCTGCAACAAGCCAAGCCACCCCTCTACCTCCACAGCCACTTCCCAGCTAAGGCAAGCCAAGTATAGTTCCCGTCTCACACTGCTGCAAAAGCGGTAGCTCATACATGGAGTTTGCAGGCATTTTTTCTTCATCTGTCTGGAAGATAGGGAGCAAAGCCTTTACAAAGACAAGAGCTGTAATTACAGCATGTTTTATGTCCAGTCTGGTTGTTTTTAGACAATAACTAGGAGTCAACTGATTCCTGGTAGTAGAACCGCAACGGCCAATGACCTGCAGAGCCCTCATACAGTGGAGAGTAATAGTTGAGGCTTCTGAACAGCCAGTTCTGTTATACTTCTATTCTATGCCCCACCATACCTGCTTGGAAACTCAGCCTGAGAACTGCTCTCTAATTTTTTTTTTCTATCTTTTTATTATGAAGAATTTCAAACACACAGCAAAATTCAAAGAATTGCATAGTGAACACCTGGATAGCCTCCTCCTACATTCTTCGAGGAACATCTAGCTATGTTCACTTTATCACATATCTATCTACCCCTCCGTCTCATCTCTGTCTCTCCTTCCATCAATCCATCTTCTTTTCCGATTCATTTCAAAGCAGGCTGCAGACATCACCCTTAAATGCTTCAGCCTGCATATCATTAACTAGAGTTCAGTATTTGTTCATGGTTCTTTTTTAAAGTTATCACCTAGGAATGCAAACCCCTTTTAAGATACAGAACACTACCACTACCTCAGAAATCTTATTCCTCTGTGTCCCTTCCCTGTCAATCCCCACCCCCATCCCCAGAGGATGTTTTGATTTCTTTTTGTTTTGATTATTTTTTTGTACCAGAGTAGTATTGCCTGTTCTGGCACATCACAAAAATGGGATCATACAGTAGATACTCTTTTGAATCTTGCTTCTTTCAGTTAGCATAATGCTTTTCAGATTGATCTATGTTGTTGTGGTATTAACTGTCTGGATAGGTGCGGTGGCTCATGCCTATAATCTCATAATCACAGTACTTGGGAGGTCAAGGCAGGAGGATCACTTGAACCCAGGAGTTCAAGACCAACCTGGGCAACATAGAAAGACTTCATCTTTACAAAAAAAAATTTTTTTTAATTAGCTGAGCATGGTGATGTGTGCCTGTGGTCCCAGCTACTTGGGAGGCTGAGGCGGGAGAATCACTTGAGCCCAGGAAGTTGAGGCTGCAGAGAGACGTGATCACACCACTGCATTCCCACCTGGGTGATACAGCAACACTGCCTCAAAAACAAATGACAGTTTGTTCCTTTTCATGGCTGAATAGTGTTCCAATGTAAGAGTATACTATAGTCAGTATCACCATTCTCTTATTGATGGAAAAAACCTGGTTGTTTCCAGTTTTCCTGTTGTTGGTTTTTTGGTTTCTCTGTGTGTGTATGTTTCTTTGGTTTTTTGTTTGTTTGTTTTTTGAGACAGAATCTCACTCTGTCATCCAGGTTGGAGTACAGTGGTGCAATCACTACTCACTGTAGCCTCGACCTCCCCAAGTTCAGGTGATCCTCCTGCCTCAGCCTCCCAAGCGAGGGAGGAGAAAGAAAAAAAGCAGGCAGACAGTTAGGGCAGGTCCTCGGTGAAATTCCTTCAAACAAAAGAACAGTCTGGAAAAAAATCAAGCTGCAGGCACATAGAGAGCAGCTTGGAAAAATCAAGCTACAGGCACAGATAAGGAAGTGAGGCCCAACATAGAAACGCCTTGGTTCTCTGTGTAATCAGGGGACTCCCAGGAAAAAGTTTCCTCCCTTTTTTGGGCATGTACACAGTGGGCTCCGTGAGAACTTGCATGGGGCGGGGTGGGGGCTTGCCTAAAACATGCCCGTAGTTGCTCAGGCAAGAGAAGCTGCACCCTGTGCTTGCCTAAGACATGCTCACAGCTGCACAAATAAGGGAAGATACACAGGTAGCCACACAGATAAGGTAAGTTACACAGCACCTGCACAGATAAGGGAAGTTTCTTATAAAAACCTTCGTATTTAACTGTAAAACAACAACCCTATTTCAGGTCGATCCCCTGCTCTGCTGCTGAGAGCTTTCCTCTTTCACTTCTTAAACTTTCACTGCAACCTCACCCTTGGTGTCCATGCTCCTTAATTTTCTTAGTCATGAGACAAAGAACTCTGGATAACACCTTAGACAAGGAGACTGCTACAATGACCCTAGACTGCTCCACCCGTAGGGGGTCATCTGGGATATGTCGGAAGGGTGAGTAGGAACAACCCTCTAATATTTTACTTTCTGTGGTTTCTTATCCACGGTTTTTTTTTTTTCCTCTCAAAATCAAACAAATACCAGGCCTCTGTTGGTCAGTTAAGAGTGGTTAGTGCAGCCACCAGATCTGTAAGACTCAGAGGACAGGCTTGCTGGAGAGGACTCTGTCAATCCCCCATTGCCCTCGGGTGTTGGGAATGTCAGCTGAGTTCCAATCCAGTTTCCATTCATGGAAGACCTAGCCATCGCATGGGGTTGGAAGGAGGTCCTGGGACAACTGAAGGTTTCTGGCTGAGGCTACACCTCAGTGTTATCTGAAGGCTCCTGAACTAACTCCAGTCCCTGACAGCCCATCATGGTGTTGGTGCCAGGACTTCCAGTCTTTCCTATCGCATTTTCTTCCATTCTCTCCTTTGTGGCTATCATGTCTCCTATCCCTTCTTTGTATGCTATGCTGAAGGTATTTTTACAACCTGGGAATATAATTTTGTTGGATAGAGTCAGCCAGTGCCTTAGTAACCAGGAATGTAACTCAAATTGCTGTTTTTGTGATTTCCTAGAAACAGGGAGAATTCAAGATTTTAGTCTAAATTTTCACCTAGTAAGGACTTTTTTGTCCCCCAGTGATAGGTATTCATGGCACTGTATGGGAGGATATTTCACCCTCAGTGAATACCCGCCTCTCCATTTGGTTTTTTTTTTCCTCCATGTAAAAACCCAGTACTGTCCAATGAATCTTCTTTCCTTCCTTCCTTCCTTCCTTCCTTCCTTCCTTCCTTCCTTCCTTCCTTCCTTCCTTCCTTCCTTTCTCTCCTTTATTTCCTTCCTTTCTCTTTCTTTCTTTCTTTTCTTTTCTTTTTTTTTTTTTGATGGAGTCTTGCTCTGTCGCCCAGGCTGGAGTGCAGTGGCACAATCTGGGCTCACTGCAAGCTCCGCCTCCCATGCCATTCTCCTGCCTCAGCCTCCCAAGTAGCTGGAACTACAGGTACCTGCCACCACACCTGGCTAATTTTTGTATTTTTAGTAGAGACAGGGTTTTACCATGTTGACCAGGATGGTCTCCATCTCCTGACCTCGTGATCTGTCCACCTCGGCCTCCCAAAGTGCTGGGATTACAGGCATGAGCCAATGCACCCAGCCAAGTCTTTTTTTCTATTCATAAAAATTTTATTCCACTTAGATTAATTTAATACACATGTTCTTAATAATTATGCTTGGATTGTTCATAAAAATTTCATAAGACATTAAACGAAGCTAGCCATCATCTCAAGTTGTTTCTCTGTTAACTATTTTACAGCACATGCATGTTAGGCAGGTATCAAAAAAAAAAAAAAATCACAAAAGCAAAAAACCTAAAAATCACAAAAGCAAAAAACCTAAAAAAAGGTTAAATACATGGGTTTTTGTTCTACTGCTGTGCTTGATATACATAAGTAATGAATATCAGCCAATTCAGTTTTACTGCATCTTTACTTTTACATTTGTTCTTTGGTTGCCTAAAACATTTAAATACAAATACAATGAGCGTAGCAAAAATAATGAAAGCTAACAGCAGGTAACTGTACAAATAATGGAACGTGAACCGTTTCTGCCCTTACCCAGAGTAAGATGGGTTACGATTGTCTACAGGAAAACTTCTGCAGCTGTAGTCAAAGCTGTGCACATTGAGATTGAGTATTCCACAGATATACCTGGTTTAACATGTGGGATCCATGGGATAACTGTTTCTATCACAGCCTTGCAAGTGCTCCAAACCTTAAAGTACCCACAATTACTACACCTGTGACTGGAACCAATGATCCCTTTAATTCTCCACTAGGACAAACCAATATGTAGGCAGTTTTCTTTGCTTAGATATGGAAGCAGTTTTAGCACTGGCCCTTGTGAAGCCTCAATGTACCAAAAGTACTGTGTCAAACATTTATAAGTTGTATAAAAATTCCACATCCCCATATTGGCCACCTCAAGATGAAAATAGGTAAATCCCTAAATGTTAACTGGCTCTACTCCCCTACTATTAAACATAAAAACCACCTGGGAAATACAGAAATTCAAATAGAAGTAACATAAACCTGTCATAAATCGTAAATAAAAACTATTTGTGGGACAGCACAGATGACAAACGGTCTACTGTGTAAATTTTAGGAAGCAGACAAAAGTTGGAAGGCTGGTTAATTTTCCCCTCCTTCTCCTGCTTCAGCTTCGTCTCCTTGGGTATCCGATGTCCACAACGTCAAGTTGTCTCTCAGTAAATGCATTATTAGCATGCTGTCTTTGTATGACTCTTCACTTAATGTATCAAGTTCAGCAATGGCTTCATCAAAAGCTGTCTTTGCAAGACAGCAGGCTTTCTCTGGGGAGTTGAGAATCTTATAATAGAACACAGAGAAGTTAAGGGCCAGATCCAGTCTGATAGGATGTGTTGGTTGCATTTCCTTTTTGCTGGTTTCAAAGGCTTCTTGGTA